ACCCTCATCCCTAAACCTTGAACCCTAGTCCCTAAACCTTAAACCCCTAAACCCTAAACCTGCAGAGGCGACCTGCCCTTCGGTGGCGAAAGCCAAGTGCACCAACTGCGGCTTGGCTGTGTTAGGGTTTCGGCTTTAGGGCTTCAGGGTTTAGGGTTTCAAGGTTTAGGGTTTAGGGTTTAGGGTTTAGGGTTTCGGGTTTAGGATTTGTGGTTTCGGGTTTATGGTTTAGGATTTCTGGTATTGGTTGAACAGGGGGAAATCGGTCTTTCGAGGATGTTAAAGGGGTTAGGAGGTTCCAACATGGCCTTAGCGTGAGTCGGGCATTATTGGGCTTTAGGGCGCAGGGGTTTTCGGGCAAAGGGCTTTGGATCTGGGGAAAAGCACTGAGAGTTTAGCTTAAGTTCAGAACTTTAGGGCTATGGTGATAGTCGATTTGGTCAGCCCTGATTCCTACCTCCAGTGCCAAGGCTTTCATGATAGCTTTACATCTTTACATGAAGCAGCAGCCAGCTACAGTGCTTCCTTGATACTTGGGGGGGTATGGGGGGGTATCCTTCTGAGTCTTCGATTTCTGCTCTCTACCCGGAGAGCCCCAATCCCACCTCAACTGAGCGGTCAACTGGGTAGGGGAACCCTAAACCCTAAACCCTAAGCCCCAAGCCCTAAGCCCTAAGCCCAAAACCCTAAACCCTAAACCCTAAACCTGCGAGAGAAAGGGGCTACTGCATTTAAGAAAACCCTAAACCTATCTCTTGTGATTTCTGGGGCCAGTCGCTTGGGAAATCCGAGCGTGCCGAGGTAGCAGCGCCACCACCTGCACCATGCTCTCCGCATGCGAGGACCGGCTGTCGGCTCTCGGAAAGGGGTTGGGGCTTTAGGGTTTAGGGTTTGGGGTTTAGGGTTTAGGGTTGAGGGTTTAGGGTTTAGGGTTTAGAGTTTAGGTTCGGGGGTTCCGGAGCTATCCCTAACCCCCCAGGTACCTACGATATAGGGCCCAAGGGGCTCTAGTATCCTATATAGTAGGTACCTGGGGGGGGTTAGGGTATATTACGGTTTATGATACAAATCCTGCATTACCAGGTTCTAATATAGCCATCCAGGGATTCATAATATGAGGGTATCGGTATAGGGACTCTACGGTTGATGATATAAATCCTTTATCACCCATAATAAGGAATATACCAGAATTCCCGTAGCTTAGGGTCCTGAAGGTATTGCATCAATCGAGTATTTGGGGGTTCCTCATAATAATTAATGGCCCTAGTCTAATTATTGAGGCCCCTACCTTAAGCAACGTCTTGGCACTTATCGCAGAGCTTGTGTCCACAGAAAAGGCATTCGTGGGGCTCATACTGATTAAATGGACATCACAGGGCGTATAATTACTGGTGTTTAAGCGCCGCTGCAAAGTCACAATCTCATTGTCCTCGTCTTCGTGTTGTCTTGGTCCGTGGTGACGGGTCCTGTTCAAAATGTCGCACATCTTCGGAGGACAACTTCTTCAACGACGACGGCGATGCACGGAATGGCTGTGCCCCGGAGAGAGCTTTCGAGTCAAGTTGGGGACCTCCAGCCTAAACGCTACACTCCAAAAGCCGTAGAATTTCACCAAATATCTCCGAAGCCAGGGTTTAGGGTTGCCTTGTGAGACAGCCACCACCCGTCGTGAGCCACAGGAAACCAAACTGCCGTCAGAGAACCAAAAGAACGCTAAACCGCGAAGGTCAAGATTGGGGTGAAGCGTAAGCGTGTGGGGGCACCCTAAGCCCTCAACCTTAAACCCTAAACCGTCAATCCTAACCCCTCCTCTCAGAGCCTTCTTGTCGTGCTAGATGAAAGCTCAGATGGCCGAAGGCGAAGCGACCTGCCCCTCAGTCGCCGATGGCACCTGTGATGTGGCTGGGCCATGCTTCAGGGGTGCTCTTAAAAAAAAGGGGCCTTCATGATTAGAATAGTAGGGTTTTGGGGTATATTTTACTGTATAGTGTTTTGAGGTGTATTATGCTATAATTGTCATATGGAGCCCCCAAAACCCTATTCTAATTATTAAGGCCCCCTACATTACTGGTTTAGGCTTTGGGTTTCGGAGGATTGGAGGCCTCTGCTTCTCCTGTCTCGGGGTATAGGATACTCCCTGTACCGCTCGGCACTGCTGGATGCCGTATACACGGTTTAGGGTTTAGGTTTTAGGGTTTAGGGTTTAGGGCTTGGTAGCTTTGACGAGTGTTCTAGGAAGGTAAACTTCGAGTTTCACATCTGCCAGTGTCTTTACGCAGGGAAGCCGACGCTGAGACGGCCTGGTTTGCTTGCACTCCCGTCAGGATGAGTGTCCTGAAATGGGTGAAGCACCCAGCGAAACGACGAATCACCCTCTTGAGTGGATGTACAGAGGCACTTTCGGACCCTTGACCCTAAACCCTAAACCCCAAATCCCAAAATCCCTAAACCCTTCACCCCTAAACCCTGAACCCTAAACCCGTCTGAGGCCTGCGCCACATCGTCACAGTCACTTGGCTTTGCTCAGTCGGTTGAGGATCCGGCGTCGATGCGCCTAAGATTTTGAAGGACGGGTTCTTGAGGCATTGGCCCACAAGAACAGGCAGAACACGACGCAACAGTTCCCCAGAGCGGAGTATTGCATGTCCCGTTTGTTCAGCCGGAACGAGAGTGCAAGGATCAAATTGCTCGTAAAAATTACGGCACCCTAAATGAAGTTCAATAGTATTCCACAGGATTCCTCATTCCACTTTTATGGTACAGCATTTAGGGTTAAGGGTTTAGGGTTTAGGGTTTAGGGTTCATTCCCCACAAGCCTCCTCTGATTATTAAGGCCCCTCTCTTCGTATCATAACGTTCCCGTAGTTTAGGGCCTGGTAGGTGGGGAGTCTCTCCCGGACAAGCTACTTAAAGGATCATGGGACTTAGTAAGTCGGGTTATAATTAGGGTAACTATACTTATAACCCCAATTGAGGGACTTATAACCTTACTTACTAAGTCCCATGATCCTCCAAGTACTGATGCTCAAACACACAAGCAACCAACGACCCGATCCTCGACACGTTAGGTTTTCCTGACGGGTTCTACATGGGGTGTTAAACATTTGAATGTGGCCTTCTGGACCAGAGAGGCAGTTAAAATTCAGGTTTAGCCCCAGGGGTTAGGGGAGTTTTTCGGATTGGCTAGCCGCAGGCAAGGAGATCAGGATGTGAAACACACTCGCTGCGAATCCGAAACATGCAAAAACCATGGCCTGCAGCAGGTGCACTGCTCTGACCTGCAATGCAAACTTCTTCGATGTGGATGGTGGCCCGCTCGGATTTCAGTGGTGCTCGGGAAGGGGGAAGGTACCCTGACGACATCCGTGTAACCACAAGCAGAAGCATGACCTGCTAACGAGATGAAGCGACACGTGCCGGTAGGAGATTTAGTAGTACTGCTCATGGCAGCTCCAGAAGCGATAGTGGTAGCAGCCGTGTTCAGGACTGTAGTGGTGAGACGATCGCTGCTGTTGCTCCTAGGGCGGTGGCTTCGAGCGCTGAAACAATAATTGTATTCGTAGCGGCTGATAGCAGCAGCAACATCGGCAACCACAATGCAATGGTAATTAATCTCCCGTAGTACAATATAGCACCAAGAACGCAACACCATCAGGAACAGCAAAAACAACACTGTCTAGGGTAGGCAGTGGACTTGCAGCATCATGATGCAGCTAGTAGGAGTGATTGCAAATACGAAGACCGAGACGATGACATTGGTGACGACAAGAAAGACCAAGAAGGCGGTGACGACGACGACTACCACTGCCGCTACTATTGCGGCTGCTGGAACAGTCACCACCTCTAATGCCGGTTCTGCGAGCACAGCTGCCCCTCACGTGATCGAGACCCTGCTGACCACGTTGGCCTGCAATTACAATTACAATCGTAAATCTAACCATGGCGAAACATTTGCGAGCGTGAATGCACATTGTGACAGACATGTAGACACTCATCATCAGCATAGTCGTCGTCATCATCATAAGCCTCATCGCCTTTTTTCCGAAGCATCTTCACGATCATCACGGTGATCTACAGTTCCCCGATGCTGCAAACGCTTGCAACTTGTCTTCGTCGCTGTCGCCGGCCCAGGCGATGCAATGAATGGATGTGAAGTTGGCTGTCCGCAGCTGGCACAGGCGAGGGCTACTCACGGGTTCAGCGATAGCCTGCAGTGTCAGAGATACTATACGGGCCTTAACCACCTATATAATTTTGGGTGCTCCTTATTACGTTTATAGTATAATATCCCCCGAAACCCTATTCTAATCATTCAGGCCCCTACATTACGGTTTAGACTTCGGTCTTTAGGTTCAACGAGGTTTTGGTGTAGCAGACTCCGTCAGACAATGCTTCATCACAGCTCTTTAGTTCCCGAAGGCGAACAGCCTGTGACGCTTCATACAGAAGCCTCAACAGTTTCCAATACGATTCCTCAGGGTTCCTTAGTATGATCCTGCAAAAAATATAGCTCAAAATTGTGTTCGAATTATCAAGGCCCCTTTACACCCAGAGGGCCATTGCGAGAAAAAGCCTATTCTTCCGAGGCCTTTGCTTCCCGAAGCCCCAAATCCGCAGATTCCTGAACCACAAACCCTCACACCTAGTCGAAACACTTAAACCTCTACGCCCCAACCTAGGCGGACGGACAAGGGCCCTCAACACAAAGCTAGACCCCTACGTAAGTTCCCTAAATTTCCCTATATCTTGGCGTTAGGAGCCTGCCGACGGAAAAATGAGCTGAACAAAACTCAAAGCGCTCAACCCTAAACCCTAAACATCCCTGAACCCTAAACCCTAAACCCTAAACCCTAAACCCTAAACCCTAAACCCTAAACCCCACCTCCCCAGGCCGACTGTGTGAGCTGTGACAGCCCGTCGCTCTGCCAAGCCCTGCGCTGCCATCGGGACTGGGCCAGCCGAGATGGCGACGCCACTGGGCCTGTGTTTTTTCTCTCTGGGTTTCGGGTTTAGGGTTTAGGGTTTAGGGCTGCTTTTGTTTTGTTTTTTCTGTCTGTCTGTCCATATGCTACCTGCCTGCCTACCACTTTGTCTGTCTAGCTGCGCAGCTAGCTAGCCATCTAGTTGCTAGGTATCTAGCAATCTATCTGGCTCGTTTGCTGTCTACCTATCTGGATATCTGTCCATGTTTTGGATTCAGGATATTCGGGGCGCAGTGGCCACATGCCTACAACAATTGTGGCGACTGCAGTGCGAGCTAGTGCAGTGTTTGCAAGTGCGTTGTGCCACGATCTCAAAGCACCGCTAAGACTCTTTCAGGTGATGAACGGCTGTGAGATGCAGTGTGGTCAGGCCATACTTGCCGAGCTTGATTCGGCAACGCGAAGCCTAGGTAGGTCGTGCTGCTTCTTGTGTTATAAATGTCCAGCGACTACAAGATCGATCGGCGCATGGTATCCGTCAGCGGTCTTAGACAAAGAAGGCAGTGTCTGAAGCTTCAGGGTTCGGGTTTGGTGCGCTGCGCAGCTTGAACTTGTTGTTCGCAGGTTCCGCATGCCAGCTGTGTCGACTGCCAGACGGTGGGAACATGCTCGCAGGCCACAGTTCCTCCCGAATAACCCTGATTTCGTAACAGAGACAAGCCAGCGTTGGGCTGGGCTGCGTCGTAGCTCCACCTAAGCCATACCAGCAGCGTCCATGGGCCTTGGCCCAAGAATTTGAAGAGCTTCATGCAAGGTCGAGTGCGATGCCAACTACTATGATGACGATGGGGACCCAGAGAATGGCTCCCTATCCTTGATTGAGCGGGGCTTGAACCCTCAAAATCTTAAACCCAAGCCCTAAACCCTGAACCCTTCAACCCTGAACCACTAGACCCCGAAGCCTTAAGCCATAAACCCCCTTTCAAGGAGCCCTTTACAGAAACAATTCAAAGCAAACCCACAAAACCTAAACCCTGAACCCCCAAACCCTTACAACCTCGAAGCCTAAGCCCAGACAGGACGTCCTCGGCATAGAAAGTGCTCGTCCTCCTACGCCTTGCCCGGGGTTCAAAGACAGTAGCTTAGGGCTTGGGCAAGGGTTTAGGGTTTAGCCTTTGGGTATGTGTTTCGGGTTTACGGTTTGGGGTTCAGGGTGTAGTGCTTGGGTAATGGTTGAGGGCTTAGGGTATATAGGGTTTGAAGCTTAGTTGAGAGCTTAGGCTTCAGGGTTCCGAAGCTGCTCGGCGAAGCCTTTGTATGGGTTGTATGGGGCGGCACTTAAGATCGTCGAGGTCTTCTTCACGGAAGGGCGCCGCATTGCAAACATCTCCCACTCGGAGCCTTCCTCGACCCTAACCCCTAAAACCTAAACTGTGCAGAGAAAATCGGAGCTGCTTCTCCACGGGCCTGCAGTGGGCACTGGAGCTGCCAAAATCCTACAACGCCACCTGAGCAACACCTTGCATGACGCCCTCGAAGTTTAATCAGACCCCCGTAAACCCTTTAAACCCGAATATAAACCCCAAACCTCAATATACACCCTATTTTAAACCCCAAAATGAGCCCTAAACCTGAACGCCTATACTCTAAAACCCTAGACCCTAAACCCTGAACAACCCACCGAAGTAAGGACGGTCTAAGTCCCAGAACCTTTGTAGTTCTTTTGCTTCATCAAGCAAAAAGCTATGGGTTCAGGTTTAACAGGTCAAGCATCCTCAACACCCCAATCGCAGGTTTTTCGTTGGTACCCGTCAGCCATTGGCCACATCGCTTCGGTCCGCCGCAACACTTATTTTCTGGCTGAGTGTTGAATTGTTGCGGGCAGTGGGTTTAGGCTACAAGGTGAAGAGATGTTCTGGGTTGAACACTCCAGGTTTCAAGTGCAAGATGTGGTGAAGATCAGGCACAAGGCTCGGGGAATCGGGTGGATTTAGGGCTGCGGGCTATGCAAGGTATCTTACTTTGCTCTGATTGTATTTCAGAAGAGTTGCTGCAGATTTGACTCTGCCTACTATTTGTGTTTCGAAGTAGTTGACCTCACTTTAATGAACACTACTTGTGCTACTGCTGGTGCTAGTGCCGGCGCTGGTGCTGGTGCTAGTGCCAGTGTTACCGCTGCCGTTACGGCTACGGCTGCTACTCGTTTCTCCTACTCCTACTCCTACTCCCACTACGACGACGACGACGACGACGACGACGACGACTACTACTACTACTACTACTACACTACTACTATACTACTACTACTGCTGCTTTAGCGACGAAAAAGACGACGATGACGACGACTACCACTGCTATGTCGAGAACGAAGACGACGTCTGCGTTTAGCACCAGTATAGTAGTACTATAGTAACCGAATAATCAGAATAACGTGGAAACATATGAACAATATGGTAGTAATAGTGTAGCTCAAGCCCAAAAACTCTAGTCCAATTCCCTTAGCCAAGAAGCCTTCGGCAGATATGGCAGCTTTTAGGCATGGGGTTGCCGACTGCTAGCCAGGCCTCCACCACCTGGCCAAGCTTGTGTTACATGAGCCCAGAAAGCCCAACTTGATTTAAGCTATATTCCTTAATGAAGGGGTATTGGGCTCTGTGGCAATAAATTAATGGTGTTGGTATTGTCTAAGGCTCCCTGATATATTTAAATCTAAGCTCTGACTTCCAGGGCTGCAGAAAAAAAGGAAGGCCCGCCGGAGTAAAGGCGCACAAACCACTCGGCGACCCTCCCGGCAGGTCTCAAACCCAAAAAATCGACTGCAATCCTTCACCCTACGCCCCGGACTTCCCAACAGGCTCTGCTACTAGGAGCCCTGTTAATTTCAAGGGAAGGGGTTTCTGAGGGCTCGCATACAACATCCCGCACCTGCTCGATGTCTGCAACCTCAGCGGCCCACCGTGCTAAGTCCGGAGTTGAGTCCACGTCTGCGCGGAGGCCTTTCGTCATTCCAGCATGGGTCTAAAACCCAGGGTTAGGGTGCATTTAGGATGTAGGGTATGAGGCCGAGTTTGCGGTTTAGGTTTTTGATTTTGGGCTTGAGGGTGTTTGTGGAGCCTTGGAGTTGCGACATTGCAGGTAATTGAAAACATAAATAAATAAATAAATAAATAAATAAATATATATAAACCCACAATGCCCGCAGAATCCCAAGATGAGCACAAGGAAAAATGTTTGAATCACGCCCTTCACGACAAGCTTGCACTAGGGTCTACATATATTGCATCATTGTATTTCATTTTCCTGCTCTCTCCGGTTCGCAACGTTTGGTGATATTCTCTCAGGCCCAACCTCTACACGATATTGCGAAGCTAAGTGTCATGCCTTCCATGTTGCCCTGCAACCTTGCCTGGAACCTTGAGGCTCAGCAACCGATTCGGTTTTTCGGGAAGGGGAGTCGAAGATGTTTGGAAATTCTATGGTCTAGGGGTTTGGTGGAACGTTATTGTGTGGTGCGCTTCTACGTGCTGATGAAAGGGGCTACGATAGGCTAAGGGTACGCACACAGACACACGTGTGACGCGATGGATGGTTTGTGCTACAGAGGCCTCTATCGCGGAACGCAAATTTCGAGGAATGACAGGGGATTGCATTAACACAATAAGCACTGCCACAGGCTCGGAACGCAACCCTGGTCTGCAATACAACGCCATCTCGCCAGTTCACAACCTTCTAATCCTCAGTGTCCATACAATACCAACTATCGAACCGGAACGCTTATTTGCAAAAATACTTGCAGTGGGCCAGGACTTGGAAACCATGAAGTGCATACGTGCAAAATATTTGTTTACCCTATGTTTCTTTCCAGCATTTTCCAGCTGTGCCTTTGCCTCCAGAGCTCGCTTTCCACAATCGGGCTCTGCGTTTGTATCACGTAGAAACACCGGCATTTTATGCAACACACTGACAACATACATTCCTCATGCTGCTTCTCATCTCCTGTGTTGAACGGGTGCCAATTGTGTCTCCAGATTCTAGGCTCTAGACACCGAGTGAGGGCTTTGTGGCAGGTTAGTTGTTGGAAGTTCTGATTATGTGAGGCATATCGTTTCCAACACGAAGGCTGCAAATCTAGTGAGACGAACTGACGTTTTTCCACCAACTAGTTGTCACGAACAATGGAGTCAATGTCTGGCACACTGTTACGTACACCATCAGGCGCTGACGCGCACCACCAGACATGGATCACCGCGCGCAGGACATTAGGTGCTCGAAGATACTGCCCATTACCTGGTTGAATGTTGGGGAAGTCGGATGCTGTGCTTACAAGGATATCCGAGACTCGCGGCACGACATGACTGATATGGTGAATAATGTCACCGATTGGGACTGCGTGCAGCATATGAGCCACACAGCCACCGAGGTTCTTGTGCGAGGTACACACGAAAAAATCACTGCGGGTTCACTTACCCAGTGGACATAACTCCGCGTACTTGAACGTCCAAGTTGCAAGTGCTACATTTGGCTCAGTGCATGTCCTCAGGACCAGTGTCGCATCGTTCGCATACGAGACCCGGAGGCGGACAAAGCATGCTTTCACTGCCATCCTCATGACACAAAATAGCAGCCTGATAAGACTGAGAATGGAGTGAAGAGTAAGAATTCTAAAATTTGAGACTATAAGCTTATAACTCCAAGGAGCGGCAATGCCTTACAAATTCAGACGTCTATATCCATGCAGCAAGCATGCCATCGGTCTTTGTCGGTTCTTTACACTTCCTGGTTGTCTGCCGGGCTTTCTCGGCAGCGGCAAGGTACTGAACCACTGCCGGGCGTTCTCGGCGGCGGCAAGGTACTGCCCCCATACACCAACAGGCTATGTTAGGGCTACTATCAAGGCCATATATAGCTACATTATATGTACTATACAACAGTTACAGAGTGGAGCAATATCCAACCTTAACCCTGCTTGGTGGGCTTTCAATGACCACGCCACTGCAGCCCCCAATGCTCTTAAGTTTTTATGGTTGGCCTTCTTTTTTCGATCTTTCAAACTTCAATACCCAGAAAAGCCAAACCTTAAGCCTAACACCCTAAGCCAACACTACTTGAACCCTGACGCCATAAACCCGGAACCTTAAAGCCCAGCAGACTGTAGCACCAAGAAGCCCCAAAGTTTGACTCTCCAAAACAGCTTCCAAAGGGTTTGGGGATTAGGGTTTAGGGTAACCAGAATATTTTGTGCAAAAGCTGGGTATTTCATGAAGAGACCTCAGAGTACTAAACCCCCTTCCTCAAGCACCCGCATAGGAGGATGTTGTTAACAAGGGGTCTACGTAAAGGTTCAGAACTCCGGGATTGAGGTTCAGGGTTTAAGGCCCCTGAACCCTAGACCCCTAAGCCCTAAAACCCTAACTCTCAGGGCTCATTGGTGAGACCCGATAGTTACTGTGGAGTGTTGAGATACCAAGGGTGCAAAGGACCCAGCCAGAAGTGTTTGGGGTTTAGGCTTGATGTTAAGATAATAGGAATGTAGGGCTTTAAAGCCTAGGGATTATCGGAGTGACTACATGGGGTTAGGATGGTAGAAGCGAAGCTTAGTGTTTGTGGAAAGAGTATCTGAGTTTTTACTTTGTTGGAGGGGTTAGAGTAATCAAGGGTCGCAGACCTTCCTTAATTAAGGAATATGGGTTTAGGGTTTAGGCATTATAGGATCCCTAGTATGAACTATAGTGCATTAGTCGGCTGGTTCTGCTAGGCGCTTGAAAGTTTGTACAGGGCCCAGTTTAACAACATAGGTGGAATGCGGGTCGGGCCTATACTTTCCTACTGAACCAGAATAAGGAACCCCGGCGACCCCTAAGCAGGGTTCAGCGTCCGGAAAGAACAGATTTGGGGTTCAAGGTCCTCGGATGGGGTTTAGCACTCTCCATAATGTAGGTTAGGGCTTTAAAGTGTCAGGTTGTGGTGGCTAGTTGTTAATATACAGTTCTATTCGCCACCAGGTGGGAAACACCCCTGAACCCTCAACCGAACAATGGTACTGTTGATGATAAAACCTCTGCATTACCTTAAGGGCCCACTATGGAAATTATGATATATTCCTCATGCAGGATTTAAAACATCAACCGTATCACGAAGTGCTTATTCAGACGGCTGATTTCGGTTAGGGTCAAGATTTCTTCAGAACTCGCAGTTTTGCTGAGCTGCATCCCCGGAAAGAACCATCGACGCCGGAACAAGGTTAATTTAGCCTAAACCCAAAAAACCCTAAACGCTATAGATTTGCGGCTTAAGATTCAAGCTGTGAGGTTGTCTGAAGTTTGGGGTTTATCTAGGGTGAAGCGTTTGGGTTTAGGGCAGAGGCCCCTGAACGTTGAACCCTTTGCAAATCCTAATTACCGGCCTTCAGGCGGATGGGCGCACAAAGCGACAATCCGAATAGAAGATGCCAGCCGCCTTGGGGAGACAGTCGTAGGAGTAGTTCTATAAATTGGCGTCCCTTGTTACATCCCCTATATTATAGTACGGCTCAATTTCGAAAGGGACCCAATTTGGAGAGCTACCCATACAAAGCTTTGGGGGTCTGTTGGATTTGGGACCCTCTCCGGCGGGCCTCATATTCAGCATGCTGCAACGTAGGGTCTATGTCGAGACCCGCTTCTTCCTGAGGTCCACATCAGGATTAGCATTGAGCCCTTTGCGCTTGGGGTTACAGCCCTGGCTGTCTTGGCGCCCTTAAGACTGTAACTACCCTCGAATCCCCACTTACCCTTCACTCGCCACACAAATTCCGCACGGTTTCTCTATGGTTCAGAGTGCGGGTTCGGCCCCAAATGCAGAAAGGGGTTTAGGGTTTAGGCCTTAGGGTTTAAAAGGTTTAGGGTTTAGGGATACTGAGTATGTAAAGTAAGCCCCGCAAGAACTTTGGTTGTTATGGTAGCTTCGGCCAAATTCTTAACCCTGAACCCTGAACTGGGCCGGAGCGCGGGGGCAAAACGTGCCGTAGCTGGTAAGGTGACCCCGAGACCTTATAAACCCTCCAAGCCCCAACTGTATAGTTGGTACAGTTTAGGGCTTAGGGGTTCGGGTTTAGGGTGGGTTTAGGGTTTAGGCTGTAGGGATTCAATGCATCCTTGGAAGTGTCATTGCAATCTAGCTCCTAAGAGCATCTGAGAACACGAACATGAAGCCTCACCTAACCTAAACCCTAAACCCTAAACCCCAAACCCCAAACCCTAAACCCTAAACCCTAAACCCCAAACCCTAAACCCTAAACCCCAAACCCCAAACCCCAAACCCCAGACCCCAAACCCGAAACC